ATCTGAGCATTCCAAATCCCTCTAAAAATATCAGTGTGTGGTATAGTGATATTCAGTTATGGAGAAATTTTATATACCTTTTGGGCTGTGTTCTGTTGGGTGTGGGCTTTGTATACTACACTTCCCCACGCTTCAATATTATTCCCAAATGTTTCAGTTCCCCTTGTTCTTGTTAGATAGTCTCCTCCTTTAGTAAGCTGTCTCCAGTAGCTGATTTCCTTGCTCTCAAGGAACAAACAGTAAGCAGAAAGGCAAATCCTTCTGATTTGCCACTTCAAAACTTGGCCACACCCTGGAGTCTTTCCTCATGGTATTTTGAAACACCTGAGTGTCCAGGATCTTTCTTTACCTACTGTGATAGGGAGAAAGGAAGATTTGAAGGTGTCTGATAAAACAGGCAGGTAAGGGAGACATAGGGAAGGCATTGTGGTCATGAACAACGATAATGAAAAGGATTTTGAACAAAATTCAGTTTTGTCTTTCAGATATTGGTATCATTTCAATCTCTTCTAGAACTGCTTTTGAGTGGAAGAATGGAGCTACAATACTGAACATGAGTTTCATTTGCAAAGTTATAAATAAAATATTTTCCTATTTAAATATATTGCATTAAAACATGGATGTTGATGAGCTAGGTTTTACATATCTTAAAGGATGGAACTGGGTGGCTTTTAAATGGGAGGAATGGGATTTAGATTTTCATGAGGTCTGCCCTGTCAGCTGTGAGAGTGCCTCTCATTTTGTATTGCAGTATTCTGGATTTCATACAGAAAGATCTGAATCTGACCATGAAAGCCAGTGGGGTGGAAGCCCACTCACTGATACTGCTTCTCCACAATTATTGGAACCTGCTGAGAGACCAAGCTCACAACACCATGATGTCTCCTGTGCCTATAGACAGTACTCGGACCGCAGCGCTCTCTGCTATGGCTTTGCACTTGACCATTCTAGGTTGACTGATGACAGACATTTCCATACTCAGGCCTGTGAAGGTGGCAGATGTGAAGCTGGTAGATATTTCCTGGGCACACCGCAGCCTGGAAGAGAGACTTGGTGGGGTTCTCGTTCAGCACTGCCCCTGACCAAATCATCCCCTGAAAGCAGAGAAGCATATGAGAATAGCATGCCCCACATAACTTCAGTTCACAGGATTCATGGTAAGAAATAACAAGAAATTCTTGGGCACCGTAGCAAATCTAAAGCTATAGTTTCAAAGTCATAAAGCCATGTGGCCAGTTTGTGTGTAAGAGGTCTCCTGATCTGTGTGCTTGTGTCTGGGTCTGGGTGTATAAATTGTGCAATAGTACAGATCTGGGTTTGATAATCAGATCTATATAGTAAAAAATGTCATTTGCTTCTAACTTTTTAGTTCTAAAATGAAGTTGGGAGCATATTGTATTATTACTCACATACCACATGCATCCTCTTTTCAAAAAATTGCCATCCCAAATCAGTGAAGTATCTTACGGGAGGAGGCTGATTTTTATACTTTAACAAAGGCACAGGCATGTAGGAATAGCTACTGAGGACTGTGTGTGGCTCCCAGCCACATGGATCAGAGACAGACCCACTCATCAGTGTTGTTCACCCTCCCCCTGCAGCTCCACAGCTAGAAGTTTAACCTTCTCGCAGCTGCTGTGAAATTAGCAGTAGCTTTCGGCTGAGCAGCAAGGGGAGAGAGAAGTGACACTGATGAGTGGACTCTGCTCCATATGGCCAGTATTTAGGCATGATGAAACTGTGCTGTGGCAGATAAGTCTGGAAAAATCTTGCTCAATGTATGCAGATAAATATGGTAGGTTAAATCTCAGCAAACATGTAAGAGGTATACCTAATGTAAATAGTCTATTTCTGTGAGTGCACCAGTTTGCATAAGAACTAACCCCAATTTATACCTGGAACCAAACCTAGAATGAATAATGCTTGAAGTCTGGAAAAGTTTTGGACAACCTTTTCTGCCCCACTCTGCAGTTAATGTCTTGGACTAGAAGCAACTATGCTGAGGAGAAAAAACCTCAGCAAGAATGACTGTTCTCCAATAAATTCCAGCCAGACCAAGGGCAAAAGTATTGTAAAATTAAAAAGAAGCCCTGACTTTGTTTTTTGCAGATTTAATTGGGTTGGATAAAATTCACAAAGTATGAATGAACAGCAAATAGACTGAATATAATGTTGTTCTTCCAAACATTTTGAGGCTTGTCCAGTACAGCTTTCATATGAGGACTGGCTAACATGATGTTGCAAGATGCATATAAGTGTATACTGATTGGAATAGCCTGTTGTAGCAGTGATTGTGTTTTTTGAGGAAGGAATTGGTCTGCAGTGCTAAGTATTACCTAAAGAATTTATGACATTCGAGGGCCCCAGTCTTAAGCAAGGTATAAGTTTGCCTACCTGCAGTAGTATAACTGGGATGGAGGGGAAAGGGAGGAAGAGGATACCAGCTACAGGTGCTGGCTATAAGGGGGCAGTGGAATCACCACCCCCCCGCTCCCCACCACAGAAGTCCTTGCCACAGCAGGGGCAGCCCTGTGTTGCCTGGCCATAGAAACCAGGCAGGCTTAGTCTTGCCCCCAATGGTGTATCTGTGGGGTGGGAGGCAAGTAGAATGGATGGAATGGTGCTTCCTCCCAGGCATAGCCCTGAACCCACTGCCATTGCAAGGGGTGGGGGGTAAGTGGGGTGACTGCACTGGGTGCTGAAGTGAAGGAGTGCCAATAGGTGCTGCCCAGCTGGGGTGGGGTGCAGGACAGAGCCATAAGCAACTCATTTGGGGGAGGGTGGGGTACGTGCAGGGATGGGGGAAGGGCAGCTCCTGCTGCTGTATGCACTCCTGGGCATGCATGGGGGGGGCATGTGACTCCTGGATCTTTGTGTGGGGTGAGGGTGGGCTGCTGCTGCGGGGTTTGCCTCAGACACCAAACTTCATTGCTACAGCACTGCTTGAACCCACTGGTGTATCTGAAGCAAATGGGGTCCTGGGGGCACCTCCCAGAGAGCCTACACCAAACAGCTGCTGCCACCTAAGCTCATGTTGTTGTAGTGGCAGCAGTAGTAGTAGCTAAGGGGAAGATTTCCCTTCAGCTCAACCTCTAATCCCTCCCCACTCCAAGACCACCTTCCCCAGCTACAGTGATGAGCATACCTTCCCCTGCCTACCCTGGATGCTGAAGAAGCTCCTTACACCTCTGCCTATTGCATTTGCTAATTGAATTGGCTGTCTAAATTTAGAAGAAATGGGCATATTTCACTAGAATTAGAATAAAATTATTCCAAAATAGAGAGAAAAAATGAAATATCAAGTTCAAGGAAATGTGGTCTAAAAGATAGTGATGGAAGAAAGGAGGCCTTTAATTTAATTTGGTTAGTACTAATCTGCCATTGTCTTTTTACCACAGTGTATTGCACTTTCCGGTATTCTGTTCCTTTACTCCATCATATGCAAGTGCCTGCAATTTTTTCTTCTGTAAAAAAGAATTGAGTAGAATATATTGACTTTTTGGTAATTCAAATATACTTTGTTTTTTATATATAATATAATATAATATAATATAATATAATATAATATAATATAATATAATATGTATGTATGTGTACAAAGTATATTTGAATTACCAAAAAGTCAATATATTCTACTCAACTCTGTTTTACAGAAGAAAAATATATAGCATGTTATAAGATATATGTGTGTGTGTATGTATATATGTGTGTGTGTGTGTGTGTGTGTGTATATATATATATATAAAACCTGTTATATAATATATAATGTTATTCATATATAGGTATACACCAGGTTATTGTAATTATAATCATATGATAATTGTTGGTGATCCTACTAACTCTTATGTAGAAATATTTATGTATACACTCTTGTTCTTAATGTGGGGATAAAATGTGGATTTTATGTGGATTTTATCAAAGACAACCAATGAAAACTAATACTAGAGTTTGATTTTGGTTTCTTTGCTAGTTCAACTTTTATTACAGTTGCTGTCATTAAATTCTTCATTGTATGGAGCTCCACAGATGTATTGATCTTCTGCTTGTATGTAGTTCTGGGGGTAGAATCAGACTTGTCAGTCACTCTGCAGAAGGGAATGCCCCACTTTCTGAAAATCTTCCAGGCCTTTCTGCTTCCATAGCTGGAGCTCAATAGATCTAAGCTACACTGGTGCAGACCATTGTTTGTTCTCAAAACAATCTCTGTTTGATTGATTAGACCTGAATGTAGCATCCAGAGCTACTTCTTCATGTAGGAAATGCCCACTATTCCTTCTCTCCGGGCACATCTACATGAGAGACTGACTGTGCAGTAGCCAAAAAATACCGCAGAGTGGCATGTCACAACATGGACAGTGCTAATACAATACTGCGCAGTATGATTAGGTAACTGCGCAGTAATGTCACCTAAAAGATGTTCACCGGCACTACTATGCAGTAACTCCAGTTACTGCACATTTATTTAGTACTTGTTAATGCACGTACTAAAGTGCTAATACAAATACTTAGTAATACAAGTACTAATGTGCAGTAGCGTCTTGTGTAGACATGCTGTTTGAAATGTAATTTAGTGGCTACATCTTCTTGTCACCCATGTGCAAAGAAATAACAGGAGACAAAACTAGGAGGAGGGAAAGGCAAAATTAGTATGCTCCCTACTCCTCACTGAACTTTTCAGTTGGAACCTTCCTGGCTCCTCAACATGAAAGCCTTCATTAGGGTCCTTGTGCTAGAGACATTTCATTTATCAGGCACATAAGTGGACTCTAGGTGCGTAAGGAGTATGGACAACATGCACATGGTGTGGCTTCAAAAGGAAAGGAGAGCTGCTGCTTGGGAACACACAGCAACTGTTAGGTATTCATAGTGACACAACTGAACTAAATCATGCCAGTATGACCCCGGATGAACAAGGTTAAAACTGGAGCAGTTTTGCTCCATTTGTATTGCAAGTTTTATGCACAAGTAACAGTTAAAGTCATGCAGCTGCCATGATCCTGAGCAGTGGTTCCCTGTCCCCTTTTGAACTGCTCTAAGCTTGTGTTTGGCCCTGCCATAGGTGTGATTTGTTCTATTCCATTCTATTCTATTCTGATCAAGTCACTGAAAAATAGTTAAAAAGTGGATACATCTTCCTTCAACTCCTCACTGCTTTTTTTGTGATTTAGTCTTAAGGATAAGACGATAGCATGTTACAAAAGTAGATGCATTCATGGATTTTCAGGGGCTTGAACAGGGTAGAACAGAATCCCATGTAGGTGCCTAAGTCCACTTAGACATCTAATAGATGGAATGGAATCTAGCCCACAGCAAGTGGCGACTCCTCATGATTCACCTTGCAGACAAGGATTAGAACACAGTATTAAGGGATGCAGAGAGAGGTTCCTCTGAACCACCTGAGTCTGTATTAACAAGTACCACTGTTGACTGCTGAGTATTTGTTTCATTTTTTTCATCACCTCAGAAAAGAGCACAAAATATTTCCCAGAAGGGTCTAAACTGGAATCATATATCTGTCTCCATTAAGCCCTGCAGGATGTCAAAGCCAAGAAAGATTAAACAAATAGGACCAAAGGTCTAAATCAAAATGGTTGTTTCCTCACAAAGTGGCCTCATTTTTTTATTTTCAAGGACACAGTGAAACATGGATTCCAGTGCTTCCTTTTGGATATTATGCACAGTACTACAAAAAGAATGCTTCTAGTGGTGGCCCTCAGACAAGAAGGAACCATGTCTATCTTCCTCAGAGTCTAATATAGATGCAGCATGAGATTGGATACCTCTAGTACAATTCAGATTTTAGAAAAGGATAAGTTTGTGATAACGAGTCAGTGCATCAGAATGTCCCATTATGCATCTGGGAGTGTAGGTGCAGTGATGTTCTTGTAGTAGCAGGACAAAGCACAAACAGGCATACAGGAAGTCAGCAGTTCTATAGAGTCTATAGAATAGTCATTCATGTTTCTCAGAGATGCACTGCAGTGGACCTTGGCACCTACATGAAGCTCCTCCAGAATTTTCTTCAGTTTCTACCACCTTACTATCCCACCGTCAGTGAAAATAATTTCCTAGTTCATGAATCTGACAGAAAAGCCATCTTGGATATATGGGGTGTTTCTTTGGGATCCCAAAGAAATCAGGAAGTTGATTCTGGGAGAAGATGCAGAGCTTAGACCATTTTTTTTTAATGTACTTTGACCACTTTTTCCCTTCACAAACATGGACATATATTGACCATGAAAAGCAATACATTCACCAAGATCTTTCTGAACCAGCAAGTAGGAATAAAGGAGAAGCAAAGCTGAGTATGTCAAGGGCAGACTCTTTGTGTGATTGAGCACCCTCTTGTGCAACCCTCTTGAAGATTAACAGTTACACAAATAATCATTTCCAGATTCTCATGCCCTTTATCATTTTGAATTGGTCTTGTTTCTATGAGTGTCTTTCTGGAGTAAACTGGACTCTTTGTGAAATAACAAGCTATTCAGTGTGAACAAAAGTAATCTGGTTTACAGTCTCTTTTTATCTCAGATCCTTATCTGCAAAATGCTAAAATCTTTGAGAAAGGACTACCTTATATTTCATATTTGTACAGTGGCCAACACAATGGAGGGCTAATCATGACTGGGGCCCATAGGAGCTACTGCATACATAAATAACTCTGTGTCTCTGAAGCGTACACTGAGAATAAATATATATTTATGTGGTGCTTAGATACTATGCAATTGCTATAGAATTTCTGACGTTGTCATCAGCAGAAAGTACTCCACAGTAGAGCACATCAGATATACACAGAATCCGGAGCCCAGATATATTATAGCATGTATATAGAATTTGCCTATAGTCATTAATTTTATCACCTGTTCTGGAAACACTCTGGTGATAATATCATAGGGTACATCTACATGTGCAGTTAATGTGATGGAATATACTCCAGCTCAATTTGAGCTAGAGTAAACTAATTTTGATGTCACTGTCTACATGTATGTTTAAGAGCAATAATTTACCACACTGCTGGATACCACTTGTGTCTTACAGGACTATCTGGCAGCACAGTAAATGAGTCTACTGTATCCTAGTTGCCATGTACATGTAGATGGTGACTCTTTACTGCACAACAAATTAGTCTGCTGTGCTGTAAGGTATCTTGTGTAGACATGTCCATACTGTTACAAGTATGTGGACCTTCATGCAATGAAGAATACAAAAATGTACATGTTTACCACATTTTCTTTCTTCATGTAACAATATCTGCCAAACCTCCCCTTCCCACCAGACAATATCTTTTGTGTGGGCTGTGGCAAAATGGCATTCAGTAACTTGTAAAAAGCTGTCTCATATTTTGTCATAGGCATGAATATTAGCAAGATTTTATGAAGTCCATAACTGCATTGTCTCCTTATAGTAGAAATATATTTCAAATGTTAGGGTCTTCAGGGATAGGGTTACTCTCCTTTTACAAGTGACTCATGGGTCTGGTTCTGCCTCAGCTGCATGTGAGCTGAACACCTCCTCTTACAGATCTGTGGGCCTTATTACCAAAAGACAGGTAATTTCAGGTTAGCATGGTTGAATTTTTAGAGATTTTGGACAGCAGATATTTATGCACATACAAAACTCATTTCCCTATAGTTGCCAGTCAGTGAACATGAAGGCATATTTTGTTCCATTTCTTATTGACAGAAAACATGGATATGTGATGACAAGGCTACAAAATCTAGTCTCTTGATTTATTTTATACTTGTCTTATTAACCTCTTCTGACCTTTAAGATATAAGGAATTATCTAATAACCTATACTTCTGACCCTTTATGGGCCTGATGTTCAGCTAATCCCCATTTGACTCTGTTTTTATGGGCACAAAAAGTACCTAGCTATCTAAGTGCTTCCAACCATGCTTATAATTTGTTTTAGATACAAACTCACATGCCCAAATTATTGATTTGGGCCAATTACTGACCATCACTGATTATCTGTGGCTCTGACATAATCTTCTGTGATCTTGGGCACTTATGCCTAAATCCTATTTCACCATTATATGCCCAAGTGGCATTTACATAGCCATGTAATTGCAATTTTTGGCACTTACACAGTTTAGATTCTATTTCCATCTGTGACAGAATAGGATCTCTCTACAAGCATACCATGTGGGAGCAAAATACAGGAGGAGGACAGCTCTTCCACCTTTTTGTGACTAGGGCACTAACCCAGGGAGTGAGAAACCAGAAGCTGATTGATGCCAGAGGAAGAAGAGGGTACCAGTGGCTTAACTAAAATGGGGTGACTGAAGCAGGAGACCTGGTCACCAACTTGGCAGGGGGTTGAAAAAATAAGAGCCACCCCTACAACTACATTAGCAACTGGAAGATGCCATTGCTCCTGTGAATTTCTGCTTTTCCAAACATTCAGCTGCACTATAATGCTTCTGAGGATAGCCCCATCTTCTAACTTCCCTCATCCAAAGAAGGGTGGAACCTGCATGTACCACTTCCCACTTACAGAAGTACTGTAACCACCAGGCCTTAACTCTAGACACTGCCCAGAGCATTGTTCTCTTGAAGCTGACCCATGGCACCTTGGATTTAGGAAAATGCAAGTGGGAATAATTTCTGCCTCAGCCCTGGGCTCTCTTTTTTTCCAGGGCAGCATCCATCTCACTGAGTTATCCTTCTTCTACTTTGCTTTCCAGCTCCTTGGCCAACATATCTTCCTCTATTGACTGACTGTTAGGCCAGTTTCAAAAGGAAACCATACCCTGATGGTTTCAGTACTTTTTCATGGTGAGGGAGCCCTAGAACCCAGGCCCTGTGCTTCCTGGACAAGTATGTCTAAGATTGAATTTGGAGGTGAATCCAAAAGGGATTTGGAGGTGAAAGGGTGAAAAGGGCTCCTATTCCTCCAGTGTCAAATATCTATTAGTATTGTCCCTGCAACTAAAATTTTAAGATTACCTGGTATTGTGAATGTGCCTGGGTGATTCTGTTGTGCCTGGTACTTATGCAACATAATTCAGCCTACTGAGATGCATGCTCAGAAGGGAAATGCAAGGTGAGCATAGCTACAGGGAATCTATACTGTGCACAGGGACAAAAAATGCAGTCATGTAATTACTAATTTTACATGCTACTTAGGCATGTAAAAATGAAATAAGATTTACCCCTAATCTCTGCCTCAGTACTCCATGTGTATAATGAACATACTTCTTTTGTCTTCAGTGTTTAAGCTTTCATGGTCAGAGACTGACTTTAGTTTGGCTTCCAGTTGCTCTTGTATACAAACATTAACTCAACCTAATACCAGTACAGTCAGTCGTTACGTGCTATCATGGTTGTTTACTTTCCTTTGAGACAAACTGTGTACAAACCAAACTTGACTCCTTGTCCCCTTTATCTGTTTTCTAGGGAGAGGACACTGGGATGAGGATAGTGTTGTTAGTTCACCCGATCCAGGCTCTGCTAGTGAATCAGGAGACCGATATCGTCCTGAACAGTATCAGAATAGTCCACATGAGCCCAGCAAAATTGAAACTCTAATAAGAGCTACTCAACAAATGATTAAAGAGGAAGAAAACAGGCTACAGCTACGGAAAACAACTCCTGATCCATTGGTCTCTCTTAATGGAGCAGGGAAAAAGCACTCCCTTTGCTTTGCTAACTACCAGCAGCAGCAGATGACAGGGGATGTCTGTCATATTCCTACGGTTGCCAACACCTCTCCATGTGAACACATTCAGCAACGAGATGGGAAGATTATGAGCCCACATGAAAATGACTATGACAACAGTCCCACGACACTGTCTAGAATAAGCAGCCCAAATTCTGACCGAATTTCAAAGTCCAGTTTGATACTAGCTAAAGACTATCTGCATTCAGACATGTCCCCACATCAAACCACCGGAGACCATCCAGCAGCTTCTCCAACCTATTACAGCTCACACAGGCAGTATTTTGATAAGCATGCTTATACATTAACTGGATATGCTCTTGAACATCTATATGACAGCGAAACTATTAGAAACTATTCCTTGGGCTGTAATGGATCACACTTTGATGTGACTTCTCATTTAAGAATGCAGCAAGATCCAGCACAGGGACACAAGGGGACCTCTGTTATAATAACCAATGGAAGCTGACATTTTTTTCTAATATATTTTGTTCTTTAAAAAACAAAACAAAACAAAACAAGCCCTTTGAAATGTAATTGGAAGATATATATGTTTTAAGGCCCTTGTTACCAGCATTTGATATACCACAATGCACTAGAGAAAATACCTAAAGTACTGGGGAAAAGTTAGTAGATGTGTTCATTTAAAAATAATGCACTGGCATTAGGGTTATAGTGAATACAACTAAATACAATGTGGCTGTCATATTATATAGAAAAGCTGGGAAAGGCTTGGGCTGGGCTGGCTAAGCAGACTTTTGGTAGACTAGTTGAGCAGTTTATGTACACTGGGCACATCTGGATGAGATGCTTTACTGTACAGTAGATTAATTTGCTACACAGTAAAACATCACTATCTACATGTACATGTGAGTGGCAGTTAGGGTGCAGTAGACAAATTTACTGTGCTGCTGGATTGTCCCATCAGATACAAGTGGTATCTGGCAGCACAGTATTTTACCGAACTTAAATGCACGTGTAGACAGTGACATTGGAATTAGTTTACTCTGGCTCAGTTTGAGATGGATTATATTTCAGTTGCATTAATTGCACATGTAGATGTGCCGACTGACTAATTTAATACATACTAAAGCAACAGCGTCTACATGTGCACAGCATTTACCATGTGGTATTTTTGTCTAATGTGCTGTTTTCTAGTACCTGTACATACAGGTACTAGAAATTAGTGCATTAAATTAATGCACCGAAGCACATGTAGATGTTGACTGGAAGCAAATTGTTCTTAGTCAGCCTAGGCAGCAGGGGGCCAAAGGGGATGGAGAGAGCTGTCCTGGCTCACCGGGATGCTGCCCCTCAGTTGCATGGGGTTTGGGACCTGTCTTCATCTCAGTGTGGCTGGGAGAGCTGTCCCAGCTGCTGGGCATCTGCCTCCAGGCCACATGGAGATTGGGGCAGGATGGGTACTGGGGGTAAGTTAGTAGACACATCTCAATCCCATCAGATGGGATGGGTACTGATCACCAGGGATCCTGGTTTTCTCCAATTAAAAAAAATCCCTAATTTTTGGTTTAAGAAAGTAACCCAAAATACACATTTTTCCATGCTTAAAATGAAACACCACTAATATATATATGTGAAAATTGGGGATTTTTTTTATTAGAGAAAACTAGGATCCCTGCTGACCACCACATGGCTGGGAAGCAGTTGACCGGCAACTGGTATGGTTCTCCCCTGCCTTGCAGAATCAGGATCGGCCCCTTTGCCCTCTGCCAGCATGGGATTGATGCCAGGGGAAGCCAGGCAGTTTCGGGCTGCTCCTGCCCTGCTCTGCCCACCTGCAGCAGCAGCAGGTGGGAAGTGCAGGCCAGGAGCAGCCCTAAACTGAACTGCTCTGGTTGAGAGGCAGCCCTGAACTGAACTGAAACCCTGCCCTAGACCCTAGACTGCCGCCCTACACTGAACTGCTCCGGTTGAGAGGCAATTTGTTCCCAACAGGCACACGTTCAGATGCATATGGAAGCCCAGTATAATATGCCTGAATTTTCTGCGCAGAAAATTTAGGTGCATTAATTGCACACGTAGACGCGCACACTGTGTAGGACTTGGCTGATGAAAAATGCTCCCAAAGGAACCCTCTGAATTGCACATACCCCATAGGTCTTGGTCAACTTTAACTGCTATGCACTCCCTACATATAAAAACATGGAATATATACATTTAAAATGTGCATCAAAATTTGTATCTTTGGTGATTTGTTTATTCCAGTAAACTCTAGCTATTTAATGCTGCTCAGTGCACCCATGGGTGGCCAAAAGGAAGAAAAGAGAATGAGTCTCAGAACCGTTACTTCTTTGCATACTCATATTCCTAGTTGTACACATGCTTGACTTGAAATATGTAAATTGAGCAATATTCTTATGATTAAATAGATATAATATTTACTTATACAATATTTAAAAGAAGGAACCAAAAAGGGGTTATTTTTCAGTTTCTTTTGAGCAATACAGAATTGATATAGAGGTTGAAGATACTTTGAGTGGCAATTACATTTTGGAAGATTGCATAAAATGGCTGGTAGAGTCAAATAGGAGACAATTAGTGAAGAAGAACTGCAGAAAGGGGCTGAGAGTGGCCCAAGACAAACAAATTTAATCCTATGGTTATGTAAAAGTACGTACACCATGAAGAGGAGACTCAGAGTAGGTTAGATATACAGGAGGAATTGCCCTAAAATTACTGCAAGGCTGGCTGTAAAATGCAACTAAGTGAGTATAAAAACATGAGCTGTAAGGAAGATAAATACTGCATGGTGGTTATGGTGAAATTTGAAAAAGCCTGTGGGTACATTAAGAAAATAAAGGAGATCATAAAGATTCTAGGGTAGCAAGGCTTACAGACTACTGAAGTAATAGGCATGACTACGAGAAAGACAGGGTTCTTGTCTTGCTCACACAGTCAATAGAACAGAGATGTCAAATACAGTCAGATAATAATCAGGGGAAGAGGAGAAAGAAACTGAGGGAATTGGGATCCTGAGAAATTCCAGTTATTCTTTGTTAATGGGCTTGCCAAAGGATGTAGAGGAACCTATAGTAAATATATTGAAAATCCTCATTTGCAAGGAGATACTAATAAACTGCAGGCAAGACAATGTAACATCAACAACTAAAACATTTATATAAGGGAGATTGTTGTTACATTTATTGACCCCATTCTTACCTGTAAAAAATCAATGGGAATCTTGCAATTGATTTGAAAAGGAACTAGACTTACCGCCAGTCGCCACTCATAATAGGATGGGCATTGGGGTGGTTAGATAAATGGGATGGACATTTCAGACTGACTTGGCTTATGATGTAAGGAAGCTAGACACATGGGACTTTACCAGCAATGGTCATAATGTATCCATCCCAATGTACGAGATATCTTACAAATATTAGTTTTCAAAATAGGGATAATTCATGCAGAGACGACAATAAAAAATAACAATCTAGATCACTTAAGCAGAGTTTAACCAGAAGACAAAAATATGTACATCTTTAAACCTGGAATATTGATCACTTTGAGGCAGATTGTAGTACTTGAACTGAGTAATACTTTGTCCCACAAGAAATCCTTTTTGACTCGTTATCACTTTCAGTGAATGATACTGTTGAACATGAGGAATGGTAATACAGTCCAATCTTTATTATCTAAAACTCACAATAAAAAAGGTAGTGCAGATCACAAGCGGAAAGATAAAGAGACTGAAAGGTCTAATAAAACTTTAAATAAACTAAATCTATCATCATTGGGGAAAAAATTCAGAGGGAATGTCAGTGCTGTAAACAAATTCTGCAGAGAAAAGAGGGTATTTAATGGGATAAGAGATCCATTTAAATTAGTGGCAGATATAAGAGACGAGGCATTAAATGTTAGCTAAGGAATTATAAAAACAAGATGAATTTGGAGAGAATTTTGTTTAACAAAATGTAAAATGTTGAATGAACTATAAAAGTAAAAAGGGAGCAGCTAGTATAAATCATATTTTTAAAAGGTCAAACCAAAACAATATTTGATGTTGGGGGAACAGTACCGGCTCAGTGGGAGGGATAAACCAAAATGGACTTCATTCAGCCCAGTAATTTTTATATATAGTCCTAAAAATTAGGAGAGGGTATTTTTGATAAATTTAGTTCTGGATGCATCTTTATTTAGTTTGCATCTATAAAATATTAATAACTTTGTAGTACAAATGATATGATTTGCCACGTGAAATAGAGTAAAAATATGTGCATTGCAAAAGTGATTATTGTCTTACAGTATGACTGGCACCTTCAGAACCACTGCACTTATAACACCAAGTCAGTTCACTCATAGTCTACATTTCTTCATCTAGAAAAGAGAAAGTGTTCTATGCAATACCATTTCCTTGTTATTATTTAGTGTTATCCTAGAATTAAAGTTTCCAGTAGCTATAATTAATTAGTTTTATCTTACTTTGGTACTGGAATTTTCAGTAGTTCCACCCCAGCATAATTATAATGATAAATGTGGAGAGATGCAATGTAGTGAATATAACATCTAAAGTCTCAGCCCCCCACCTGCAAAGACTGATACTTGTTCACTCCCTACACAAGAGGGCAGCAGCTCTCACTCTTGTCATTGGCTGGACACACGTGCTTCTATAGGCTATGTGATTGGTCATCTTTCTTAAAAAGACCAAGTACAAGAGACAAAAATGTCATCCTTACTTCAGAGTTGGCAAGGAGTTTTAATGCAATTTTGAATTTTGTAGAAGCTTAGGAACCCACAATCTGCTACATCCTGTTTATATACTATATGAAAACAAGCTTGCAACCTTAACTAGATGCATATAACATGTGCTTTCCAACAGGACATAAAGTTTATATTTGTCCATGACATATTTTATACAGCTCTTCACTTAACATAAAGAAAAAATTGAGTGCTTCAATATTGTTCAAGGACCATATTCTTTTTTTTTTTTTTAAACAAAATTGAGTTGAGCTATTTGGGAAAGTTTGAAAAAGCAAGATATTGTCTATGATATTTTAAAAATATATCCTATTAGCTTAATGCTATCATTACATAACGAAGACATTTTAAGGTGTAGGAACTACACTGATTGCACTGTACTACGCGAGCATTTCTATTCAAACTTTGTGTTGACAATTGTGATATCAAGTTAATATAATAATTAGAATGTGAAATTAATTATCATTTTATCCAAAACTAATTGAAATCAATATGAGTTTTTCAGTTGACTTCAATAGGTTGTGGAACAAGCCTTTTATATTTTTTATTTGATGTTAAGAGACAAATGAAAATGTCTCTCATTTATACACAGTAGTACTTGGTGCACTCTGTGAACATGCTATGGCTAGATTCACCTAAGAATTTATAACATAAAAACTCTTATTTCATATGCAGTCCCATTGATTAAACTGGGAATATCATAGAATAAAGCATGACTCATTATGAGTAAGAGTAAGGGTAGCAGAATCTGCCTCCTATTTAATTGGCACTAGGGTTTTTTGTTTCTTCTTTGTTTTTTTTAAATCTGTAAGATGCAACTATGAGAGTTGTAAAAGAAAATGCCTAAAATACTGTGTATTGATAATAGAAGTGGTTTTCCCTATACGTTTTGAATAATTTTATAGAAATGGGGTCACCTTGAATGTTGGTGGGTGTCAAGCCCCAAGAATATTCTGCTAAACTTTCCCCCTCTGATTAATAGATATCTTAATATGATATTATGATATTCCCATAAGTGCTGTTGCTTAGGATTGTACATTAAAATCCTACTTATTCAAACCCATTTAATCCATCAAGCCCTTTCATCTGAATCTCTGTTATCTCTAGGCATGGAGCACTTATTCAATGATGCTCTTCATTACCCAAACAGCCATTTTATCTGATAAGTACTGATCTCCCAAAAACTTTTCCAACAATTGGTTTTCCTTTTTGACTTGTTCAGAAAACATTACTGCAAGAGGCACAGCTCTGTTG